GATTCTGCTTTCGAGATGGGAACGACTGATTATGAAGGTTATGCTATAGGTATCTGTTCCCTCAAATTGCGAATCGTCGCGTTCGACATTGAGATGTATATCTACTACCCCCTTCGGTCTGGAATCTAAGTACCTCTGTTTCGGTATCAATTGTGTGTCTGTATGCCCGCTCACATGTCTTACGCCGTGTCATTTTAGACTTGATCTCTTATCTCTTCTATGAGAACATGCCCAATAAACGCGGTTCGGATATCATATGATGTGTCGCTTGGTTGCCTACTGCGCTGGTCTTAGGCCCTATAATTATCTTCCTTCTGCCTTCCAGACCCCCGGGGCGAGTGGGGGCACCTCAAGAAATCAAGATGGCTGCACGACAATTGCTGACCACTCTTGTCATACAGTCACTCTACTCATGGATGATGAATGGGGGACGAACGTGTGATTGATCATCTTTCTACGTAAGTGTCGATACCGCAGAATGTATCCCAGTGGCTGATTGTGTCCATCTGGTCATTATTTTAGCTGGTATAGCTGCCATATTTCCGGACTGTCGCCTTATTGACTATCTCTAGATGCTGCAAGCGGAGTGGGGCGGGGGGAAGTGAAGGCAGACCATCAGTGACTCGGATGGTTGGATGGATGCGATATGAGAGATGGTCGCTCTCGTATTGCATCTATCTTTATCAATAGTAGCAGGGAAAGGTGATCATCTGATTCACGGATAAAAGGTACTGCATCACCTCACGGGAAAACCTCATTGTTTCTTACAGAAACCATTCCCACATATCGGCTTATGGCGCGCCCAACTAAATACAAGCCGAACTTGCACCAAATCTAATTGAATCAGTGCTTGTACGTAGACTACACACTGATGCTCTGGTTCTCGTGCGCGCTATCAACGGGTTGCATATACAACAAGGAACTGGGAGAATGTATGCGCTGGTGGTGCTTGGTTCCTGTATCGCAGGCCCTTCATAATCAAGTGATACCAAGAGGTTCATCTTTGTGTTTGTCATATACTACCTGATGCATATCATTCAAGCCTCCAGAAATGGTGCAAAGAGAATATCAACTTCTGTTAGAAGTCCCTGGGGCTAAGTGCAGATGGATGCTATTTTGCTGATGAACTATTCGCTTGATATGGCCTGGCTGGATGAAAATGCGATGATTATGGTCCAATTAGTCATTTCATGTCATTCACTGTCTTATATAAAAGCTGTGATATCCACAGCAGATCTTTACTCTTAGCCTCACATCTTTGGGTATCTGGTACTGCCTTAGTTTTTTCTGAGATAAATCTCTCAATCTTCTGCTTTCTCACTGATAATCTAGTCCATCCATATCAAGTCTAGCATTTCTACACCTACTATGAGTGAGCTAGATAAGACCTATGGTGTGACATTGATTGGTGCAATAACAGCATCTGTGTAGGCTTTTCTGTTGCTGATTACATATTCTGATATGCTGATCCACAATCTGCTTTGAGATTGTTTGGCATTACCAATATCCAGGTCTTCCAATACTATAGAGAATATTCAAATGATCACATCTGGTATAAGATTGCAGTTGCTTGGCTATGGTAAGCATTATCTCCATACTCTCCAGGTGATTTGAATTTTTTATAGTATCTTGTCAGGCTGATAGATATAGTCCATCTCTCACTCTGCTGTCATCTTCTATACTGGGCACTTGTGACAAACCATGCATTTCCTATAGTGTTGGTAGATATAATTTGGAGCTGCAAGGTACAGCATGTGATATGTGTTGACACTGTTAAACAAAACTGATGGTGATGAAAGGCACAGTTTATTCTTTTTGTGATGACACAATTTATTATCTAGTTTCAAAACATGCTAATTAATTATACTCATTTTAGGGTGTTACAGGAGCATCTGTTCACACGTATAACATACTCTATACTTATGTTTTAGGGTGATACTTACAAAAAATCTCAGATTATATTCTATCAGAATTATAAGATGTAAGTACCAAGGTGTTGACATAACCATCATTGGAGTCTAACTTGTTTCAGTGGCTGGAGCAGTGTATTCAAACTCTCTTCGCCAGAAGTTTATATGCTTTGTAATTGTGAGATAATAAATGTACATAATTGAAGCTACTGCTCATTTGGCCTTTTTTTTATAGGTATTGTTCCTTGCATCAGCCTATGGTGTGTGTTTATATTTCTACTCTATGAAATAACTACTAACTGATTTCAGTTGCTACAATAGGTCTTTATTTCTCTTTATAGCTTAATCTTTAGTCCTAACACTTTTTATCAGTCTTCAGTTATGAGATGTATGCATCATATTTCTCAAACATCACTATCTGAACTTACTAGAATGCTATTTACAGTTCACAATCAAGAATACATCTATACAGTGACTTCTTTGCACCTAACACAGTGGCAAGTAGGCTCTCCTGACAGTACTTGTTTATGCTAATCTTTGCTATACTAGTGGATCACATACTATTCACTGGCAACACTGGCTTGCAATGATGTGGTCATTACCTGTTCTCTATGTTATTTACTAGCAGGATGTTATTCTATATCATCACACAAGTCAATATCCATAATTTCGAACTTAAGATAGAATACAGCTAATGTGATACTTATTTGTAGGCACTCCTTCATGATGAAGCTTATTATGTATGCAATAAAGACTGGAATACTGACAAGGTATAATCATCTTTTGAGCTTCACAATAATTACTGACAAGTGATTTTTCTACCAGTATATTTGCCCTCCTGGCTGTTGCAATGGTATTGAGCATTTTCTTTACTGGTACATATCACTATTTGTCTCAAGCTTCAAACAGATGTCAGCAATGGCAGGCACATTTTCAGTTCTATGTGTTGATTTATTTCTCTCTAAACGTACGTCTTTCTGCCTTGTATCCATTATAAAACCATGGAGCTGATACTATATTCCAAGTCTATGTGAATTCTTGTATAGTCATGTATGTATCACTTCATCAGCTTTTTGAAGAAGCTCAAGAAGCAGCTGAACCTCCCATTGGAAACAGGTTGAATTCTCGCAAGCACCTGCGCACTTCAGCTTTCGAGGTCTACCAGAGCGAAGATGTAGTATCCTCACTCAGCTCATCATGCACATAGAGCTACATGATGCACCCAACAACAGACAGAGAGCCCGAGAGAAAGCAAAGAAGAGGATGTTCGAATGCACTGATACGAAAATGACAATAGCTTGATAGCCATGTATATTTGAATTGTTTGTTACAGTGCCAATATGTCACACATGTGCCAGCAACCAGTCTATATTCGTCAAGATGTCTCTCAAAGAATCACAAAAACAAAACAAGTGTATGCATATTGCAGAGATGACGACCGATTTCACAAGGCACGTAATACCTGGCAAGCAGCAGAAGGGGCCGTGGAGAGGTGCTGCATATATGCGAGCGAGCGAGATCGCATCCGCGCAGCAGGCAAGCCCTGCATCCCACGATTGCGTCCGCGCGAGCCACGTCAAGGGCTGTAGTCGAGGATGGCAGGATATGGAGCAGCCGCTGATGGTGGACTCACCACATGCGCCGTGTAGGATGTTTTTCTGTGCTACGGGCCCTTGTAGCTCTGGTTTCTTCTGTGGATCGATGCGAGCGGGATCAGGTCCAGCGCGCGGGCACTGGGCACGTCAGAGGGTCTGTGGTCAGGACTAATGCCTCAGAGGATAGCACTTTGAGCAGACAGGGTGCAGGACGAGCGGCGCTGAGCTCGTTCCTTGACATGTCGAGGACATGAGTAAGATACCAGATGATGCGAGGCGAACATGGAGCGGCAGTCGATGGCAGACTTACCATGGAGCATGTTTTCTGTGCAGCGAGTGTCAACCCATGCACTAGATTCGTGTTCGGCTTTGTGATCATGGTTTTTGCTTTTCGTCTTCCCGCCCATTTGCTTTTGGTGATTCAGCAAGCTGCGCCGCCAGCAGACGTCCCGTCTGACGCTCGTTCTCCGCTGTGTACACCAGACGATTGCTGGCATGTGCGCTAAGAGGGCGGCAGTCAAATTCACCTGCGAGGGAGTTTTGTGACTGTTTCTAAGGTGATGTACCACATGTACATACCTGGAGGGGAGGCGGCGTAGGATTCCATCGACATCGAGTTGAGCCACCGCTCGCCGAATCTAGCATCAGAAAAAACGAAATCAGATTCAGCTCATGCAGCTGCCTCCAGTGCTAATGTCGGTGATGCGTTGAGGGCGGGCGAGATAGCGGGGATGAAGTTCGCAGCTTTGAGCTCGAATATCTCAGTCCCACGGTTTAGAGTGGCCATATATCACTGATTGCGCCTGGAACATTGGTTGCTGGGTGCTATCACCAGTCGTCCCTGACAGAGCACCTAGGCATCGTATATGTATATGTGGACGATTAGCCTTGGACAATGTACTCGTACGTCGCCTTGGTGCCTCCTGTGACCAGTTCGAAAAGGTTTGGATTTGGAGTATGCAACAGCTTTGAACTCATTGCCCTCCCATGTGGATCAGGCCGAAACAGGGCATCGTGCAGAATTATGCACCTGA